TAGTTCCATCCTGAATTTCCCTTTTACTTAAATTCTTCATCACCCCACATGCAGTTTCGGCTGCTGGAAGGAATTTATACATCAGACGCCGTTCCGCAAAATCTTCTGCTTCCCTAGCTATTAATCGAGAATCGTCTATTATCCTCCGCTGTTGCCCCCCAACCCAACGATTGAGCCCATTGTTCAACGTGTACGATGTGCTGACCCCGCTTGCACACTCCCTAGCTTTATGTCCCAGTCCACCACAATTGAAGCAGTTTATGTTGGTTCCTCTCATCCCCAGTTGCCGCATTGGAATAGTAGCCGACCCAGACGCGTAATTTGCATGTAACGCCACCTTTCCTTGCGAGGACATAGGATCATACGATATGAGTATGTTTGTGTTGCTCCTTCTCCTGTTTGTTGATCAATCCACAAATTATGCCATTTGTCAGCCAATGGTTTCACCATATCCAAAGAATTCACCTGAATCATAGTTCTATGGGCCTTAATATAAAATGTCTCCATGAATTAAAAATAATTTTTCTTTTCTTCTTTGTTTTACAAAAATTTTCAACAAAAACTTCTTACCTTTCAAAACAATTTACAAAACTAGATAAAACCGATAACACAACAATTTCTTCTTTTTTTTTTACTACCAATAAAAATAATAAAATAATATTATTATTATTTCTTCCTTTTTAATAAAACACAAACATAACACATACCAAACTTGAAAATAACACAATTTTTCCTTTACATCTCTATCTTTAACTTTAAAAATATTTTACATATTACTCTACCAGTTGTTTTTTTTTCTTTTTTTTTAACCTCAATTCCTTTTTTTTTCAAATTTCTCTTTTACACCATACGCCACCTAAATGCGTTCCCCCTTTTATTACAATTTTCCTTTTTTTTAACTCTCAGAAATTCTATTTTAACTTTTTATAACTTTTATTTTACCAACTTCTCTAATTAATTATCTCCTTTAACATTACATTTATTTCCTTTTTTCCACAAAATTTCTTCTGAATTTGAATTAATTAAATAATTCACTAATAATAACAGAATGAGTTAATGCAACACACATTCTTTATTCACTCCAAAATTTTAAAACATAATGGGTTAAATACAACACATAGCTAATTCTTTAGCGATTGTCCTATGCCACTTAACCTCATATATTTAACCTTATTTCCGACTTTTATACTTTCTACCAACTCTCAATTTATACATATTTACATTAACGGTCAACAAATTAAGATTGGCTGCCCTTAAAAAGTCCCCAATTCTCCAAAATTTCCTTCTACTTTTATTAAATTTTTCCTAATTGATCCTATATACATTCTACACATTTTATTTATATATATATATATATTACTACTCTTCATACCCTTGCTCTTAACTGATTTCTATGTCTCGTGACCTCACTATGGTCTTCCAATCTAACTTTCTGTATTTTATTTCCCACATTCCCTATAACTATTCCCTTTTCCCATTTTTTATTCATTCCATACATCCGAACCCATACCAATTGATTAACAACAAATTTCAAAACAACATTATCTCCAATTTCTACATATCTACTGGTCTCTAACCATCCAAAAAGAAATTAATTTTTTTCTCTGCTGGTGATTTGCCATTCTTTCCAATTGCACTGTTGTAATATAATTGAGCTATCCACAATTCTCCTTTACTTTCTTTATTTTTTTTAACCAATTTTTCACTATAGCTACCATTCGTTCAGCCTGACCATTCGAACTAGGATGGTACGGTGGTGACATTATATGTCTCACATTCATCTTTACACAAAAAATTTTAAACAACACTTATAAAATCCGGTCCTCCATCGGACACCATAATACTGGGAATACCAAATCTCGAAAACAATTTCTTGCAATGTCTTATTACTATTCCCGCTGTTAAACCATGTACTTCTTCAAATTCAATCCATTTAGAAAATGCATCTACACTCAGAATAAACTTTTTTCTTCCCATTCAAAAAAATCTAAATGCAATCTTATCCATGGTCCTTTAACTTTTGGCCAATTACTATCTTTTTCCTTCCGGGGCATATCGGACCAAGCATTGCAAACCTCACAACTTTTACCCAAATCATTAATTTCTTCATTCATTCTGGGCCACCATACATATTCTCTTCCCCATTGCTTCATTTTTTCTATTCCTTGATGCCCCACATGTAACATATTTAAAACTCTTTCCCTTAATCGTCGTGGTACTATAACTCTATTTCCCCTCATTATACAATCATCAATTATTACCAATTCAGTTTCTATGTTTTTATATTTATTTCCCTTATCATTCCACACTCTTTTACCTGTTATAAATAATTTTATCAAACTTAATTCCCTATCTTTCAGAGTATATGTATTTCTTTCCAAGTCGTAGGACTACCTTTAAAACCCCCCGTTAATATCCGAATTAATGCTTTTTCATCCATCTTATCCTCCATTATACAATTAATTTCTTCTCCCATACCTAATCTCGATAATACATATGGTAAATGATTTTCTTTACCCTGTCGATATTTCAATTCTAAATCAAAGCTACCTACTAACAATAGTCACCTCTGAAGCCTCGGCGACATCATCAGCTCCTTGTTATTTTTCTTAAACAAATGTATCAATGGTTTATGATCAGTATACATTACAAATCTCCTTCCAATCAAATATTCCCTACATTTCGTCAAACCAAAAATAACCGCCAACGCTTCTTGCTCTATTACCGAATATCTTGTTTCTACCTCTCTAAATACTCTCGAGAAAAATATTACCGGTCTTTCCATACCCTCTATCAAATGCAATAAAGCTCCTCCCACTCCTTTACTGGAAGCATCCACAGCCACAATCACTTCCAATTCACTATTAAAACACACTAACACAGGTTCTTTACTAATTTGTAATTTCAACCATTCAAACGCCAATTCTTGTTCCTTTTTCCATTCAAAAGATACATTTTTCCGTAATAACTCATATAAGGGAGCTGCTATCCTTGAAAAATCTTCAATAAATCTATGGTAATAATTCACCATTCCCATAAACGATTGAATTTCTGCCTTATTCACCGGCTTTCTCAAATTCGCAATACTCATCAAATTTTTATCCAACGGTTTTACCTCTATTCCATTTATTTTATGTCCCAAATATACAACTTCGGTAATGCCCATAACGCTTTTTTCGCTACTTGACCTCAATCCTTTAACCCTTATTCGTCCAAAAACCTCTTCCAACCTTCGATTATGTTGTTCTACCGTTATTCCGGTAATCAATACGTCATCCTTATAATAAAAAAACACCTTCCTTGAAACACCTCAGCCATTGTTCTTTGAAAAATCGATGCCGAAACACTTAATCCAAATGACAATCTACAAAACGTAAACAATCCTTTAAACGTCGTTATGGTTAACAATTTTCTCGTAGACTCTTTCATAGGTAACTGCAACTACGCACATGAAAAATCAATTTTTGAAAAATACTTCGCCCCTTTCAAATTCGCTAAAATTTCTTCAATTCTCGGTAACGGATACTTTACTTCCACAACTCACGGATTTAAAGTTACTCTGAAATCCGCACAAATCCTTAACTTGCCATTCGCCTTCCTTATTGGAACTAATGGAGTTGCCCATTCGCTTTATCCAATCGGACAAATTATCCTATCTCTTAACCATTTATCTAATTCTTTTTCCATTTCTGCTCTCCATTCAAAAGGCACTCTACGTACTGCACAATATTGTGGAATCTATCCTTCCTTCAAACGTATATCTACTTCATAATCTATTAAACGACCTAATTTTTCATCAAAAATATCTATATTTATTTACCAAATCCACTGACTCCTTCAAAATTCCTAAATCATGACTTACATCAATTTCTTCTATTATTACATTATCCTCAATTTTTTTTCTCACCAATTTCACTGGAAAATTTTGTGATACAGGCAATTTTTCCCTCTCTAAATTTGAATCTTTATAAATTTCATCACTTCTTACATAACTATTCTCTAGTCCCGATTTCTCTAAAATCATCTTTTCGTTTATCTCAAAATTAAAATTCTCATCATTTGTTTCCGTAATATTATCCATTTCCACATCAACAGAAATCAATATCCAAATCAATATTTTCCTCAATTCCTGAATCATCTATTATACCTATTATTTCATTTTTATTATTCAGACAATTAGGTTCCTCCTGACCCAATTTCTCATTTATAATTATTTCCTGAATCTCCTCAAAATTATTTACCAAATTTTTAATTTTATCCCACCTTGTTATTTTATTCTCTAAAATTTCTTTTTTTGTATTATCACCAATTTCCTGATTATCAATCTTTATATTTTCAACTTTCATTTTCTCCAAAATTAATTTTTTTAAAATTCATTTTCCATTTTTTTGATACCCATTTCTTTTACCGAATCTGGTATTCTAATATTTTCATTATTTTTATTTTTCCCTTGAAACATATTCCAAAAATTATTTTTTAATCCAAACTTTGATATCCAAGACCATCCCATAATAGCACCAATTTTTTCTTTTAGTATCCACAAATCCAAATATATTATTTCTTCATTTACCAAAACCGGTAAATTAACCCTTCCCACTACCATAACTTCAGATCCATTTAATTGTTTTATTCTCATTTTATCCTTAATTATAAATTTATCCGGCCATAATTCGTGAAATTCCTCGTATCCCATAACCGAAATTGTTGCCCCGGTATCTAATAACATCCAAATTTCTTTATTTCCTATATTGATTTTAACCCTTGGACATTGATCATAATTTCTACTATCTTTCAAATTAAAGATAGGTAAATTACATATTTGATTCCCTTGTGTTACATTTACTAACATATTTTTATAAACCCCATAATTTTCATTTTCAATCACTCCATTCTCCATTTTTATTTTATTATCATTTATTGAACTTGTAAACATAACTTTATTTATCTGATCCTCTGTATTTTTTGGTGTAACTCCTCCTAATGTCTTTATTATCATACAGTCATTCTACTGTACAATTCCTTGCATAATGCCCAATATTACGACATTTATAACAAGTTATATCTTCTCTATTATTTCTTTTAAATGTATTTTTCTGTTCACTTCCTACGTATTCCACTGCTGGAAACGCTTTGGAAATACCTTGTTCATTTTTATAACATTTATCTTTAGTATGTCCCAAATTCCCACAATTTTCACAAGAAATTACATTTTTTTGTTTCCCATTTACTAATTTATATGCCGGAACGTAACATTCTTCCGCGTAATGTCCCTTATTTCCACATCTTTTACATATTTTCGGTAATATTTCTGGATTTACTCTGGCATTACATTCTCTACTTAAATGCCCATATTTTCCACAATTATAACATTCTTTTTGACTTTTATTATTATTAACATTATATCTTTGATTAAATTCATGCCCTTGTCTAATTTTACTTTCTAATTCTTCAATTTTTTAAAGCATTTCTTTCCTTTCCTTTCCTTTCCTTTCCTTTCCTTTCCTTTCCTTTCCTTTCCTTTCCTTTCCTTTCCTTTCCTTTCCTTTCCTTTCCTTTCCTTTCCTTTCCTTTCCTTTCCTTTCCTTTCCTTTCCTTTCCTTTCCTTTCCTTTCCTTTCCTTTCCTTTCCTTTCCTTTCCTTTCCTTTCCTTTCCTTTCCTTTCCTTTCCTTTCCTTTCCTTTCCTTTCCTTTCCTTTCCTTTCCTTTCCTTTCCTTTCCTTTCCTTTCCTTTCCTTTTCTTTATTTTCCTTTTCTAAAATTTCTTTTTCAATTTTTTTTTTTAATATTTTCAATTTCTATTTCCTTTAATACTCTATTTTTCATCAAATTTATTATTCCAATTTCATTATTTCCATATTCCAAATTTCGATTTTCCATTTTCACTTTTCTTTCTTCTTTTTCAGATTCTCTAACGAAATCTGGTCTATTAAAATTACTTTCAAATTTTCTCTTTTCAGAATTGTTAAAAATATCCATTTTCAATATTCTTTTTTTTCATCATCATTTTCCATTACATATATTTCCTTAAAAAAATTTTCCATTTTTTTTTGAAATTTCTAAATTTTTTCCCTTTTTTCTTCTTCTTTTTGTTTTAAACACCTTATCCTATTTGATTCTTTATTTCCACTTTTTCTATACCATTTATAACCCGCAACCCATAAAATTATTATTACAATTATACCCGAATATATATCTCCTTTTGCAAAATCTTTAAACTCAAAATAATTTTTAGTTGTAATTATTTTTCTATTCCACATTTTTTTTTTAAATTTTTTAACTATTTTAACACTATTTATTTTCTCAATTTCAATTTTTATATTATATCAAGCTTATTAATAATTTTATTAAAAAAATTTAACTATTTTAAAAGAAAAACAATAAATTATAACTATAATTATTAATATTATCAATAAACAATTCATAGAATTTATCCTAAAAAAAATAATTTTACCTTTATTTCGAATTTTTCCTTTTTTTAAAAAATACTTTTTGGCCTTTTATGTATAAAATGGTAGTCAATGGTTTTTTACGCTTAACCTATTTACAAAGTAGGTATCTTAAAATATTCACGGCACCACTGTGGTGATCTCTATATGCTTAATGGTAAGACTTACGAACTTTTAGTTAAGAAAAACAACGTACACTAATTTTCTTGTAAAAATGTTTTATTTCTTTCAATTTCAGTACAAAAAAAATATATTTTTTATAAATGCAAAGAATGAATACAATAATTAATTTTTCCTTTCTATTTTTACATAAACTTTTACAAAAAAATCAATAATACCAAATCAATATATATTTTTCTTTACACTTTTCATCAATAACCTAATTTCAACACAAAAATCAATACATTTTTACATCATATCACAACAATACCTTCTTAAACCAATCTTATAACTCTTGTAAATTATCTTACCTTAATTAGAACTCAAAACCAATCTTTATAAAAAACCTTATTAAAAAACAAATTAAGATAATTTTACCATTTTTTCTTTGGTATTTCAATATCTTCGCTTGTTTTTCTTCCTACTAATAATAGATTAATGTTGTATAATTGATCTCAAATCTTATTAATGATCTATAATAAAATCCAGATCTTTAATTGAGCTCGATTGTGGCAAGATTTTTGAAATGACGAAAGTTGTTTCTCTTTCTGAAGGTTATGGTTAATCAACAATCTAATATTATATATTATCACTTAGGCATATATTTGTATATACCACATCGTTGAGGATGTTTTTTCGCATCCCATAAAATAATAGTTAAATGTAAATCTTTTAATTTCAACATCAACATATGTTTTAACAATAATTGTATATTAATCTTAGTCTTCTAACCTTAATCTCCGAATATTTTCAATTTTAACCAAATCTTAAAATTATTTAATTGTATTATATCATTATCATTCCAAAAATTATGTTCCTTTTTCTTTTGATTTGCCACAGTTATCTCTAGTTATCTAAGATAATTCTAAAACATCTTATAGTCTCAGTTAGATTTAGCTAGTTTCTAAGTTTACCATAAACTTCTGTTAAATGTTAATCTCATAAAATACCATTTAACAATTATGACAACTTCATTATATCTTATCTGCTATGAATGCTGCCTTTATAAATCTTTGTTCCTCATTTCAGCTAACCATTAGTTGCTACACAATCTTGGAACTTAATCTTATCAATATTTACAAAAACATAGTTCGAGATCTAAATTAGCTCGATTGTGGCTTCTCCTCTGACGGAAAGCAAATCATCTGTGCATAACATAAAATAATAGGTAAATATTCCTAAGATTTTATTTATTGTATATTGGTCTTTTTCAATTCTCATTACTTTTAAACGATGATATTTTTCCTTCCAAATGCTTTATATCTTAATCTTTGATTAAGATTGCAAAAAATTTTCAATAAATTATATGTAACTTTTTCTCAATAATCGCTATTAATTTCTTTATATTTTCATAATCACTTTGTTTCTATCTTATAAACAAATACTTATTTTATTTACAAAAATCGCCTATAATCTTTTTATCTTTCTAAATTTTCACGTTTCATCTCATCTTCTTTTGATTTTTGTTGAAAAATTTTAAAAAAATTCTTAGTAAATTATCTGTAACATTTTTTTAATCACTATTATTTTCTTTATATTTTTATTTTCATAATCTCTTTGTTTCTATCTTATAAAAAAATATTTATTTTATTTTCCAAAATAACTTTAAAACTTTTTATAAAAAAAATATATACAAATGTTTTCTATTGATTTATTGCTGAAAATTTTTTATGATCTTCTTAGTATTATCTATGAATTTTCCATAATCGCAATTTCTTTAGATTCTCAATATCTTTTTGTCTATCTTATACAAATATTTACTTTTTTTTCAAAATCCGCTTTAATACCTTTTTAATCCTTCTAAATTTTCAACTTGTTTCATCTCTTCTTCTTTTAATTTTTTTGTTCTTTAATTGATATTTTTCTTCATGCTAACCACAACTATATTTCTATGGCTTTAGAAATATCTATTTCTTTCTTAACCATCTATCTTTATAAATGGGTCTTCTTTCTAGATTTTCCAAAATTTTAATTTCTATTTTTAATAACAATAGATATTAATTCTTTTTTGCACCTAAATAATTATGTCTTTTAAAATATATATTAATTTTCCTTCATATTGTTGAATTTAAGAAAATAGTAAAGTATAAAAAAAATAACCTATAAAGAAAATAATTATCAATAAGTATAATTACTTTTTAACAATAAATCATATTATCATTTATATCTTCATTTATTCTATCCGATTATTATCATAAATTTAAAAAATAAAAGTAAACGTACAAAAAATTATAAATATAAAATTATGAAATAGAAGTTAAAAAAAATTAAATTGAATTTGAAACATAAAAAAGTATCCAAAATAAATTGAATAACTCGAAAATGTAAAAAAAATAATAGTGCAACTGCAAGATCTCCAAAATTATTTCGCGTATAATATTATAGTCCTGAACATATTATTTGCAAAAGCAAAATATATAAAAACTCTCCACTCTTCTGAGAATAACAATGTTTTTAAAACGAAATTGTATGCCTGATTAACTAATAATTAACTTTTATTCAATTAACCTAATTATCAAAATACCAGCTGTTAAAGACAAATTAAATATAACACAAAATTTAAACTTTTAACTTTATCAATTATAGAATATAAAATTACAAAAAAAACTATTGATCATTGATTACAAACTTCGTAACTTTTATACACTTTAATATTGTAATACAACATTTTTTTTTAAACACAAAAACATTTAATTCATCTTTATTTGGCTATTAACTTTATATTTTTAACTTAAATGGTTATTCAAATTTCATCATTACTTGCAACACCTCTTCCCTTAGATACCTCTATCTAGGGAACTTTATACAGTAATCTGGGTGTATCCTTTTGTAATATTACCGGCTCATGTTGATTTTCATTACTTGATTGGTACAATATCTCATTAGATGATCTCCTCCACACGCCCAACACTGCCTGGGTCGAGGAAGATCATATGGATACATTCTCATACTTCGCTCTAATCTCTCTGATGTTTACATTCTCATTTCGTTCATCATTTCCCCATATAGTCTTGTAGCTTCTTCCCTGGCCAATCTTAGCCAGTTTCTTAAGAGCATGGAACCATCTATTGTCCTTATCTCTATCGGCACTTTATAATTTCCCACTCGTTTATATGTGGCCATCTAAAAATAAAATTACTATGCATATAACTTTAACCCTTCCTTTCTTTTAATTCTCTGTCTTATAGTTTTCCGCTTTGTTTCCCTAATAACCTCGATTTTATGATCAAAATTTGCTTTCATCCTAAAATTTTATTTTCCATCACGTTAAATTGTACTTTCACCCCAAAATTTGATCTTTCCATTACCACAAATTTTGCTTTCATCCCAAAATTTTATTATTTTAAAATTACTTTCTATTCTCGGTCGTATTTGTCTTACATGTATCGACCATGTACCTACCTGTCCTTCAATTTCTATTTCCAATTTCTCTTCCTATATTTTTTCTTACTATACCCTTCCCCATTTAATAGGCCCATCGAACAACATACACAAGCAAGACTTCCCACTGGAAATTTCTCAATATCTATTTGTTATCTCAGTATCACCTTTTCCTTTAGAAAATCTAAATCCTATCTTGTTTTTCTACCTAAAAATATCAGTTGGAGATATTCCTTTTAACGTCTTCGTATTGTTATATACTAACAATAACCACCATTTTCCTTCTCCTGAATTTTCTTTTTTCAACCAACTTTTAACTATCGCTAACATGCTCCCAGCTTGTCCATTGCTCCTTGGGTAATAGAGTGGTGAAAATACATCTTTAATCTTCTA